TTTTTAAAACGTACACCGTTCAAACTAGGCTGCTTATGTTGAAGTGTTTGGGATGTGGCTTTTAATGATGAGACCTTTTTTGTAATCAGGCTCTCAAAAAGTATATAACAATTTGGATATAGATTTATCGGCCAACATATCGGTTATCGGCTTTCAAAAATAAAGAATAATCGGTTATCGGTATCGGCCAAAATTTTCATATCGGTGCATCCCTAGAATATAGCTTTAAATAAAAAAAAAACCTACATTATACAGTATATATTTCATTTTATGCCTCTGGGTGAGTACTATTTGAAAGCCTTGTATGTAGGTTTATAAATAGCCCCATTTAAAAGCCCTGAGACAAAGTAGATTCTGTGACAGACAACTTAACACGGCTATATTTACTTGTGACCATGAAAAAGAATATAGCTTTAAATAAAAAAAAAAACCTACATTATACAGTATATATTTCATTTTATGCCTCTGGGTGAGTACTATTTGAAAGCCTTGTATGTAGGTTTATAAATAGCCCCATTTAAAAGCCCTGAGACAAAGTAGATTCTGTGACAGACAACTTAACACGGCTATATTTACTTGTGACCATGAACTGTGTGCCCTCCAATCACTCTGGCTTCGACCTTGCTCCCGACCTTCAGGGATGATGTTGGGAAGCTGCCAACCACTGGTGACTCCTCAATCTGAGATACATGGATACTTCCTGCGGTTCCCGACGGCAGCATCACCACCACATCCATGGGCTTCACCTTCTTTACCGTCACCGTCATCACTTCCCCAAGATCTGTGCTCTTAGATTTTCTCTGCTCCCGTTTCTGCGTTCCTCTCGTGGAGTCCTGTTTCTGACACTCGACAAGAGGAAGTCCTCCCAACTCCTCGCTGCTGGGCTCCTCCACGGTCACATTCAGACAGGAACCGACGAGAAATTTATTTGAATTTAAGATGTCATTTAAGTGTGTGTGAGTGGGAATGTTGGTCAGGTGACCAGTGTCACCCAGTGAGACAACAGCAAAGTCTTTGTCGGTGTACTGGATAGTGGCAGTGAGTTTGGAGTCCTTTTCCAACTGAAGACAAACAAAAAGAATGAACTTTAACAGGCCTGAATAAATTAGATGCTGTGGGTTTTCAGGGTTTTGAGTTGGACTTACCTTTTTCCTCATCGCCGCTGTCAGCTCTGGAAGCAGCGACACATGGACCTCAGACTTCGAAAGGTCCACATGGAGAATCACTGCAGTGAGTTTGCAGCCTGGACTCACATTCACACCTGAAACATTGACACAGATCTAGTTAGATGAGAACTAGCATGTTATCCGTCCATGTCAAGAGATCACCAAATTCACACACAACCACTGATATTGTAAAGTTGCCGGTTTCACAAGATGGTGCATGTAGACAGTCCAATGTGAGAATCATTTCAACAGGAAACTTTGTTTTTTTTTGGGAATCAAATGATCCAAGACATTCAGCTACAACATTGTTATTGCAAACTAAAAGTAAAATTATTAAAAGTACGTTGAATTTGGTAAGTATATCGTGACCGTTTAATCGTTTGATTGGGTTATTTGAGAAATTGTATAGTTTAAATTTCAATCACATTCTGCCTTTCAAATAAGGGAAATTATATTATGTTATGTAATGTTATATTATATTATGGGCTGTCAGTTTAACGCGTTAACTTAAATAGTTACGAAAAAAATTACATGATTAAAATATTTTAATGCAGATAACACACTGGCCTCGCCCCCCAGACCTGTACGTCATCTTACATTTCATACAGATGACTGTTGATAAATCTGATGCAATGCAACAACTCCATAAATGCAGTTATGCCCTAAAATGTAAGATATTGGGGCAATAAAATGACCCGTTATGAGTTTTTGTCTCATATTTATATAAAATGATAAGGGATATCACATGAGCAGCGAGAACAATATCACATGAGTACTGTTTTTGTCCCTAATATCATGAGTTTAAATGTGATTTTATACAGCAGTTCAGTAAATAAGAAAATAATAGTGTTATTTTAAACAATATTGTCTGCTTTTGCTAAATTTTGCTCAAAATGTTCCCTTTAAAGCCACAGCAGAAATGTTTTGAGTCTCCAAGCAACACAGCAGTGATGCATTTCTGAATGAATCTGCATTTTGAACAAATCGTGTGAACCAAAAAAAAAGGTATTTTGAAGACTGTTGGTTAACAAAGCGGTTTTGTTTACCAGTAACTTTCATTACATGAACAAAATTACAGAGTTATTTCTCAAATTATCTTCTTTTATGTTCCATGGTTTATGTTAGGCCGATGTAGCCCAAATGTTTGCATAATAAATTTAATGTTGAATCAAATAAAATATTTATTTCTAAAGCTACTCTTTGTAATGTCTACTTGATACTTTCTTATTTGACACAATAATAGTTTTAAATGATCTTGTTTGGGTATTTAAACAGGCAAATTTAATTTGCGATTAATTAGATTAATTAATCGACACATGTAAAATTTTAATCGACTAACAGCCCTAATTATATTATATTATTTATAGGTTTCATTGGTGTGTGAATGTAAAGTGGACCAAGTTTATAGTTGAACCAAAACAATATATAAATAAACAATAAACACATTTTCACAGCAATTAAATTAGTTGAAATAAACTGAAGTTCTAAAATTAATGAAACTAAAACTGACATAATAAAATCTACTTAAAGTCCCCATGAAATCAAAATGAAATCAAAGTTTTTTTGGGTGTTAGTATCAATATGTTAGTCTTAAGGTTATCTATAAGGCAGTGTGCTCTAAAACAAACAAATTTCGCATTTAGAAGATATAACCATTAAAAAGTTTTTATTGACGTCACATCGTACTTCATCTTCTCATCAAATCTTCTGACCAATCAAACACCGTTTAATCGTTTGATTGGGTTATTTGAGAAATTGTATAGTTTAAATTTCAATCACATTCTGCCTTTCAAATAAGGGAAATTATATTATGTTATGTAATGTTATATTATATTATGGGCTGTCAGTTTAACGCGTTAACTTAAATAGTTACGAAAAAAATTACATGATTAAAATATTTTAATGCAGATAACACACTGGCCTCGCCCCCCAGACCTGTACGTCATCTTACATTTCATACAGATGACTGTTGATAAATCTGATGCAATGCAACAACTCCATAAATGCAGTTATGCCCTAAAATGTAAGATATTGAAGTATATCGTGACTGTTTAATCGTTTGATTGGGTTATTTGAGAAATTGTATAGTTTAAATTTCAATCACATTCTGCCTTTCAAATAAGGGAAATTATATTATGTTATGTAATGTTATATTATATTATATTATGGGCTGTCAGTTTAACGCGTTAACTTAAATAGTTACGAAAAAAATAACATGATTAAAATATTTTAATGCAGATAACACACTGGCCTCGCCCCCCAGACCTGTACGTCATCTTACATTTCATACAGATGACTGTTGATAAATCTGATGCAGGGCAACAACTCCATAAATGCAGTTATGCCCTAAAATGTAAGATATTGGGGCAATAAAATGACCCGTTATGAGTTTTTGTCTCATATTTATATAAAATGATAAGGGATATCACATGAGCAGCGAGAACAATATCACATGAGTACTGTTTTTGTCCCTAATATCATGAGTTTAAATGTGATTTTATACAGCAGTTCAGTAAATAAGAAAATAATAGTGTTATTTTAAACAATATTGTCTGCTTTTGCTAAATTTTGCTCAAAATGTTCCCTTTAAAGCCACAGCAGAAATGTTTTGAGTCTCCAAGCAACACAGCAGTGATGCATTTCTGAATGAATCTGCATTTTGAACAAATCGTGTGAACCAAAAAAAAAGGTATTTTGAAGACTGTTGGTTAACAAAGCGGTTTTGTTTACCAGTAACTTTCATTACATGAACAAAATTACAGAGTTATTTCTCAAATTATCTTCTTTTATGTTCCATGGTTTATGTTAGGCCGATGTAGCCCAAATGTTTGCATAATAAATTTAATGTTGAATCAAATAAAATATTTATTTCTAAAGCTACTCTTTGTAATGTCTACTTGATACTTTCTTATTTGACACAATAATAGTTTTAAATGATCTTGTTTGGGTATTTAAACAGGCAAATTTAATTTGCGATTAATTAGATTAATTAATCGACACATGTAAAATTTTAATCGACTAACAGCCCTAATTATATTATATTATTTATAGGTTTCATTGGTGTGTGAATGTAAAGTGGACCAAGTTTATAGTTGAACCAAAACAATATATAAATAAACAATAAACACATTTTCACAGCAATTAAATTAGTTGAAATAAACTGAAGTTCTAAAATTAATGAAACTAAAACTGACATAATAAAATCTACTTAAAGTCCCCATGAAATCAAAATGAAATCAAAGTTTTTTTGGGTGTTAGTATCAATATGTTAGTCTTAAGGTTATCTATAAGGCAGTGTGCTCTAAAACAAACAAATTTCGCATTTAGAAGATATAACCATTAAAAAGTTTTTATTGACGTCACATCGTACTTCATCTTCTCATCAAATCTTCTGACCAATCAAACACTCTTAAGAAGCCGAATCGCCCGCCCCCTACACTATAAATAGAGTTGAAGCTGCGGCTGAGATCGGTCGCTTGTTCACAGTGTAGTATTTCCTGTACAGTGAATGGCACGTAGTGCACAATGTCGGCGATAGGGAACGATTCGGATCCTGTAAATATGCTTTCGATTGGGGCAAATGAGGTCAGGTTTCACGGTGTGTCACGCGAACCGTGGCAGCGTTCAGTCTGACTTTTGGCTCCGATCGCACGGAGCGGATCATATGCGCGAGTCTGCATATATTAAACACTTTTAAAACTACAAAGCCTCAGCATGATTATGATCACTATTTTGTTTTACTAAGAGTTTCATATTGAATTTAGGGGGTAATCTATTAAGACTGTGGCTGTCAAATGCGGCTTTACCGAGCTCAACGGCTCTGAGTGACCCGTGCAGATATAAACAAAACGCTATTGGCTAATCTAAAAAGGGGGCGGGGCTGCTCGACATGTCCCGCCATGTCTTCCTGTTTCAGGTGAAATTATGTCACCACATAGAATAACGCTGCGTGTTTCAAGGCACTTCAGGGGATCTTTAAGGCTAAAAGTTGACATTAATATAACTAGAAACAAGTTGTTCTCATGACAATGTGAGTTTTGTTGTAACAGTTTAAAATTAATTAAAAAAACATTTTTAAGAGGAAGGCAGTCCTCACCTTCTGTGTGGTACTTTGAGACCAATACAGTGGCTTCACTGAGCTGATCTGAGGTCAGTGCGACCGAGCCATCCTCCATGTTATCTCCCACCGTCACCTTCAGTTTATCTCCGAGTGATACAGCAGAGAGCTGCTGCAGAACGTCAGACTCGCCTGGAGACAACAGAGATTTGGATATCTTGATTAAAGAGAAAACAGAAGTTAAACACTTTATCATTTGTCATTCATCAGAGCCTACGCTCATACCTCTGCAATTCATCATCTCAAAGATGGCCTTCCTTTCCTTCAGACCCTGGATCAGTCTGGCTTGGGACCCTTCCTCTGAGAGACTCAATTCGGACACCCTCAGACTGACCAGAAACCTGCTCTTCTTTTCATCCAAATTGGTGACTTTGGCAACAACCGTCTGGCCGATGTCAAAGACAGTTGAGGTGTCTGTGATGAACTGATCACCCATGGCCTACGACGAGACAGAAACACAACATCAAATCTACACAAAAATGTACAATTTCACACTAAATCCCATCCAAACGACCAAAACAAAGACGTACAGCTTTAGGAGCGAGGCCGAAGAGTTCATACGGGAAATCGACGAAGATTCCATAAGGCATGATGTTTTTCACCCAACCGACCATCTGCATCCCCACCTGGAGCTCAGAGAAGTTTTTGGGGATGCCGTCGTCCTCCAGACAGGCCTTCAGCAGGGGTTTCTTAGTGAGAGTCTGAACAGAACTAGGTTAAGAAGAACTGAACGATGTGGAAGTTTGTCGACTTGATTGCACAGATAATATTTAAACTGAACTGAGCTGGGCTGCGTTTCCCAGAGTTGATCTTGGCTCCATTGGTTTCAACGATGCTTTTGGGAAACGCAGCCCAGGACAATGACGTCACTGAATCAACTGACTTTAATTGGAAAACTGAGTGTTAACTATCATCCTCTTGCATTATTGACACTATTTTCCTGTTTAATACTGTAAAGCTGCTTTGAAAGCATCTGTATTGTATAAAGCGCTATATAAATAAAGGTGAGTTGACTTGCCAGTCAGAGATTTTAATAGTTATTTTTACTGACAACAAAGACAAGAATGGCTGTGTGAGGATACAATGCCCTTCTTCTTGGTCTTGCTGAGACACATTATATTAGAGATGGTGTCGCCCTCCTCCAGCACCATCCACAGGGGAAGGCAGTTGGTCACGTGGTCAGAGAGGTGCACTGTGGGTATGAAAGCTGGCACCTCCTCAGGAACAATGGAGACCTCCAGACCATCCAGGACTTTGCGGCGCACTTTTACTTCAACCGTCTAAATGGGAAATAGCAATAAAAGAAAAGTTTACAAAAAGTATCTTTTTTTTTTTCACATGCTTTGAAAAGTAAGTATAAAAACTTGTTTCAGTCAAATTACCTTTCCAACCACAAAGTCAAATTTGGCAGTCTGTGCCTCTTTTACGTCTCCCTCAGTAACGGCCCTGAAGGATAAACGTAGCGTCTTTTTTTCTTCATCACAATCCAAGACTTTGGCCTGGACAACCTTCAGAAAACAATCAAAAGAGTGTTAATTAGTGTGAACTGAAGATCAAAACCGTTCAAGAGACACAGAAATGTGTGACTGGAATAAATTTGACAAAATACACAATGTGCACGAGCAATATAATATACACTATCATTCAAATTTAGAGACAGTTCGATTTTTTTCAAATGGTTTTTGAAGTCTTTTATGCTAACCATAGCTGCCTTTATTTGATAAAAAATGCACACAGTAATAGTCAAATATTAACTATTCCATTTTAAAATATAATTTATTTAAATGTAATTTTCAGCATCATTACTCCAGTTTTCAGTGTCACATGATCCTTCAGAAATCATTCTAATATGCTCTTTACCGAGCTCAACGGCTCTGAGTGACCCGTGCAGATATAAACAAAACGCTATTGGCTAATCTAAAAAGGGGGCGGGGCTGCTCGACATGTCCCGCCATGTCTTCCTGTTTCAGGTGAAATTATGTCACCACATAGAATAACGCTGCGTGTTTCAAGGCACTTCAGGGGATCTTTAAGGCTAAAAGTTGACATTAATATAACTAGAAACAAGTTGTTCTCATGACAATGTGAGTTTTGTTGTAACAGTTTAAAATTAATTAAAAAAACATTTTTAAGAGGAAGGCAGTCCTCACCTTCTGTGTGGTACTTTGAGACCAATACAGTGGCTTCACTGAGCTGATCTGAGGTCAGTGCGACTGAGCCATCCTCCATGTTATCTCCCACCGTCACCTTCAGTTTATCTCCGAGTGATACAGCAGAGAGCTGCTGCAGAACGTCAGACTCGCCTGGAGACAACAGAGATTTGGTTATCTTGATTAAAGAGAAAACAGAAGTTAAACACTTTATCATTTGTCATTCATCAGAGCCTACGCTCATACCTCTGCAATTCATCATCTCAAAGATGGCCTTCCTTTCCTTCAGACCCTGGATCAGTCTGGCTTGGGACCCTTCCTCTGAGAGACTCAATTCGGACACCCTCAGACTGACCAGAAACCTGCTCTTCTTTTCATCCAAATTGGTGACTTTGGCAACAACCGTCTGGCCGATGTCAAAGACAGTTGAGGTGTCTGTGATGAACTGATCACCCATGGCCTACGACGAGACAGAAACACAACATCAAATCTACACAAAAATGTACAATTTCACACTAAATCCCATCCAAACGACCAAAACAAAGACGTACAGCTTTAGGAGCGAGGCCGAAGAGTTCATACGGGAAATCGACGAAGATTCCATAAGGCATGATGTTTTTCACCCAACCGACCATCTGCATCCCCACCTGGAGCTCAGAGAAGTTTTTGGGGATGCCGTCGTCCTCCAGACAGGCCTTCAGCAGGGGTTTCTTAGTGAGAGTCTGAACAGAACTAGGTTAAGAAGAACTGAACGATGTGGAAGTTTGTCGACTTGATTGCACAGATAATATTTAAACTGAACTGAGCTGGGCTGCGTTTCCCAGAGTTGATCTTGGCTCCATTGGTTTCAACGATGCTTTTGGGAAACGCAGCCCAGGACAATGACGTCACTGAATCAACTGACTTTAATTGGAAAACTGAGTGTTAACTATCATCCTCTTGCATTATTGACACTATTTTCCTGTTTAATACTGTAAAGCTGCTTTGAAAGCATCTGTATTGTATAAAGCGCTATATAAATAAAGGTGAGTTGACTTGCCAGTCAGAGATTTTAATAGTTATTTTTACTGACAACAAAGACAAGAATGGCTGTGTGAGGATACAATGCCCTTCTTCTTGGTCTTGCTGAGACACATTATATTAGAGATGGTGTCGCCCTCCTCCAGCACCATCCACAGGGGAAGGCAGTTGGTCACGTGGTCAGAGAGGTGCACTGTGGGTATGAAAGCTGGCACCTCCTCAGGAACAATGGAGACCTCCAGACCATCCAGGACTTTGCGGCGCACTTTTACTTCAACCGTCTAAATGGGAAATAGCAATAAAAGAAAAGTTTACAAAAAGTATCTTTTTTTTTTTCACATGCTTTGAAAAGTAAGTATAAAAACTTGTTTCAGTCAAATTACCTTTCCAACCACAAAGTCAAATTTGGCAGTCTGTGCCTCTTTTACGTCTCCCTCAGTAACGGCCCTGAAGGATAAACGTAGCGTCTTTTTTTCTTCATCACAATCCAAGACTTTGGCCTGGACAACCTTCAGAAAACAATCAAAAGAGTGTTAATTAGTGTGAACTGAAGATCAAAACCGTTCAAGAGACACAGAAATGTGTGACTGGAATAAATTTGACAAAATACACAATGTGCACGAGCAATATAATATACACTATCATTCAAATTTAGAGACAGTTCGATTTTTTTCAAATGGTTTTTGAAGTCTTTTATGCTAACCATAGCTGCCTTTATTTGATAAAAAATGCACACAGTAATAGTCAAATATTAACTATTCCATTTTAAAATATCATTTATTTAAATGTAATTTTCAGCATCATTACTCCAGTTTTCAGTGTCACATGATCCTTCAGAAATCATTCTAATATGCTGATTTCATGCTTAAGAGACATTATTATCAACTTTGAAAACAGTTGTGCTGCTTAATGAATGGAAAGCTCAAAAGAACAAATCTTCTTTAACAATGTAAAATCTAGGGCTGCACAATTAATCAAATTTCTAATCGCGATTACAATTATGGATGCCATAATTGTAATTATGTAATCGTTCAAAGTCCACTTATGTTATTCTGCGTGCTTAAGATGCGTTTTTCTTTCTTTCTACATGTTATCTTTAAGGGTTTTTCCATTGATTTAATTTTAGTATAACACTATAATACCATTCATATTTTTACTTTTTTTTATAATTTAAAGAAACCAATCCGATGTACAGTTGACATTTGAGGCTTAATACTATAGAAAAGCACAAAGTTTTTCAGTTAGAGTGTTTTGAGCTTGTTTATTTTCAAATAAAAATACGGCATGCAGTTGCATCAAACAATGGTATAAACATCATTCATTGTAAATTGTGATAATCGTAATTAATAATCGCAATTACAATTTCAAGGGAATAATCGACAATTATGATTTTTGTCGTAATCGTGCAGCCCTAGTAAAACCTTTAATGTCCTTTTTTATAATTTAATGCATCCTTGCTGAATAAAAGTATTCTTTTTTTTTTAAATATCACTGATCCCAAACATTCGAACAATAGCGTATATATCATTCAGACATTGGAACATTAAACATTTGAACAAATCAGCTCACCTACACATTTGCTCATAGTACCACAAATAAAACTAGAAAATATGACAAACTTGTTTGGAAACAACAATCATGATCCTTCAGAAATCATTCTAATATGCTGATTTCATGCTTAAGAGACATTATCAACTTTGAAAAGTTGTGCTGCTTAATGAATGGAAAGCTCAAAAGAACAAATCTTCTTTAACAATGTAAAATCTAGGGCTGCACAATTAATCGAATTTCTAATCGCGATTACAATTATGGATGCCATAATTGTAATTATGTAATCGTTCAAAGTCCACTTATGTTATTCTGCGTGCTTAAGATGCGTTTTTCTTTCTTTCTACATGTTATCTTTAAGGGTTTTTCCATTGATTTAATTTTAGTATAACACTATAATACCATTCATATTTTTACTTTTTTTTATAATTTAAAGAAACCAATCCGATGTACAGTTGACATTTGAGGCTTAATACTATAGAAAAGCACAAAGTTTTTCAGTTAGAGTGTTTTGAGCTTGTTTATTTTCAAATAAAAATACGGCATGCAGTTGCATCAAACAATGGTATAAACATCATTCATTGTAAATTGTGATAATCGTAATTAATAATCGCAATTACAATTTCAAGGGAATAATCGACAATTATGATTTTTGTCGTAATCGTGCAGCCCTAGTAAAACCTTTAATGTCCTTTTTTATAATTTAATGCATCCTTGCTGAATAAAAGTATTCTTTTTTTTTTATCGTACTGACCCCAAATTGTTTTAACAGTAGTGTAACAATTTTTAACTAGATGCATTTGACAGTTTTTAAGTATTGCTCCTCTCTGACCTGGCCAACGAAGAAGAGCTCTTCTGGATTAGCCACATACTCTGTGGACAGTTCCGGCTTAGGAACCAGACCCTTCACATCTTCATAGAAACGAACAATGCAGCCAAAGTCCTTCACACACACGATGAAGCCGTGGGAGACGCGGCCCACCCTGGCATCAGCGTAGGACAGGAAGAGAGGGAGTGTGGACTCAACAAGGGCCTTCTTCCTGGTCAGGCACAACTTCTTCTGCTGAGCGTCCAATGACAACACCTAAACAAAACCCATGTTAAATTAATAAGAAGAAAGGTTACAAATGCATTGTCAGTGAAACACAAGACTGCGTTCAAGGGGAGAGAGAGATGTCAAATGCCAAGAGAGTACAAAATTTGGGAAAAATAAAATAAATAAATTCAACAATAAAACACTTTGGCATTATCTATTTGTTTCAAATAATCAAAACAGGTTTAAATTTTACATCGTATTTTTTTAAAACTCAAGAATGCATTAAAGGAGAAAAATAAAACAAAAACAAAAAAACTATATTTTTTGTAGCGTGTAGACAGCCATTTCATTGTATGAGTCATGTGAAGATTTAAAAAAAATGGAGTAACCCCAAAAAACTGCTAGACTAATTATTACTACTTTTACAATACTTTCATCATCTTGGACATGCTTATTTTTCACTGACCCAAAAAAAACAGTGCATGACTTTAACATCCTCACCCTGCACTTGACCTTCAGTCCATTAGTGAACAACTTCTCTGGGTTCTTTAAGACAACATCGGCCAGGTGAATTTTGGGGATCAATCCTTTGATGTGGTTCGTTATCCTCACGTACGCACCATGTTTCTGCAAATCCGTAACTGTACCCTAAAACCCACAGGAAGCATTTGACCACAAGCACATTTATTCTTTTGTGTGACATTTCCTACAAATCCATTTATATTTCGTGCTATATAACACAGTTGCCCACCTCAACAATTTGTCCCACTTTGATGTCTTGATATCTGAACAACTCGGTTTGAACAGTGCTCCTATAAAACAAAAACAACAAAATATAAAATAAACTGGGAACCCAGAACGCCCTAGCAACCACATAACAGCAGCCTAGCAACCAACCTGCGCAGTGTGCCCATGTGCATTCGCTCCATAGGACTGTAATCTATGATTCTCAGAGTGTGCTTAGGCTGGGTCAGCAAGCGGTTTGGGTTGAATTCTTCTTTTGCCTCCTTCGTGAGGTTTTTCTACATGTATAATGGAAATAAAACTCTCAGATTAGTGTGCATGTGTGTAGTACATCTGTGTCAAGACTGGCTTTGTACTCACATGCACAAAGGCTGCGGTCCCATCAGGCATCTTCATCAAGGCTCCAGAGTGATGGTGCAAAGCAGACATCTTACAGCCCTGCACCACCTCACTCACCCGCTCACTCGAGATGTCATCCAGCACAGCGCCGCCTGGTGGCAGGAGATGCCTGCGCAGGGACAGACCCACATGCCGCGTGGATGGCTCCACATACAGAACCCGCGCCAGGACCTGAGACAGAGCCGGAAGAAAGAACTTCATCAGTGACTGAGAATCAGTGTTATTTTAGTATTATTATACTTTGAAAGTGTAGAAATAAAAACTTTAGTTTTCATTTTAGTTAATGATTTGTCATTTCGTTTTGCGCTTTTATTCGTTGTTGTTTATTTTAAATATTACTATTCAGGATATAATTATTTTTTATTTCAGCTTTAGTTTTAGTACTTCTTTTAATTATTATTTTCAGTGGTTTAACTTAAACTAATCAAAAATTAGAAACGTTGCCTTGACTAACTGAAACAAGTAAACATTTTAGATCTAATATTTATATTTTACAGTTTCTGCATATTTTATTTGAGGCTTTTTAAAGACCTTTTAAGGACAATGTAAAGAAATTTTAAAGTTGTATTAGCAACACTTTTTTATTATTTATTTTTAAAAATATAAACAAATATCTGCCAATGAGGTTAATTCAAAAGAGAAAAAAGTCTGCAATCCCCATTGACAGATATTTGTTCTCATTTTAAACAAACTCAATTTAGTTCACTTTTTCAGAAAACAAGACTTTGCATCTTCATTTTGCAAGTAAATGTATCTTGACTTAAGGATATTTGTATTGGAATACAAGATCAAAGTACTGAGGTAGATACTGCTTTTTGCAGAGCATGCAGCACTTAATGCCATAACTTTATAATTTAAGACTTTCTGGTCTGATTTAAGACTTTAAGTCCTTCATTTGTGTAAGGGCTAGTACCCACATAAACCCTGATTTTATTTCAGCTTTATAAATATATATAAAGCTGAAAATTATATATATACTCACTGAAACACTATTTCTATGGTCTTTTGACTCATACCTCATCTCCTGTGTTGTAGGTAGATGCTTTGTCCTCATCAAGGTGCAGAAAGTCAACCATTCCAGTAAAAGATGAAAGATACGTCACGATAAGCCCATGAGGAGTAACCTGGCATGACAAAACATCAGCAGACAACGTCAACATCTCAAAACGATTGACCTAGAACACTTGAAATGATCTTAAAAGGGAATTCAAACGGCTTACAGTGACTTACAGTTGTTTCTGCATATTAAACTGGGATAGGAGGAAGTATTTTAACATCGACATTATTATATTTTATGTCTATGTGCAGCTGACTTACCCTCTTGATGTGCCCCCGGATCAGAAGTCCCGGCAGGAGTGTGTCTAGAGTCCATCCTTGCTGAGTCTCTGCACAGGCCTTTCCAAGAGCCTGGGGATCCTGGGACAGACGCACCACACGTCCATCGTTCTTGACTTCCTCTATCAGGACCGTCATGTACTGACCCACATTCAGATCTGAGATAAACAGGAAACTTGCATTCATAATACCGCTTTTATCCTGATCAGAGGACATGGACAGTTCATCCAAAAATGAAATTACGTCAATGTTGTTGTCATTCCAAACCTGCATAACTTTTATTATTATTAATGTAATAAAATGTAAAAGTAAAAAGTAAAAAAAAAATTTCCAGGAAGGTCCCATTGAGATTAAAATAAATCTCTTCTTCCAGGGAGTCTTGGCCAAGATGACCATACAAAAAGTTTCACATAGTTAAAAATTTTTTTTTTTACTGATTTTATCACTGAATCATTCATTCAATTGATTCGTTCGAACGGCTGAATCATTCAGGAATGAAGCAAGTGACTGTCTTTATGAACTGACAGAAATCCATCGTAGCGATGGAACTTTAATCCCTGCATGTTATGTTGCTGTATTTGTGGCGGATTTTATACCTTTTTTTGAGGAAGTGCTTTGTTTGGGCAGGAAAGCTTTAGTGCCACTGATTCCGATGTCAACCAGGAAGCCGTGATCTTCCACACTCTCCACACAACCACTCAGTGTCTAAAATGTTAAAACAGTCTTATCTTAGTTCACAAGTGACAATTACTCATAAAAGATTCAACAACAACTGCGTGATACATACTACCAATTGTATAAAAGTTTGGGTTACGCTCAGTAAAAAAATTCTTTTTGAATTAATATTTTTATTTAGCAAGGACACATCAAATTGATCAAAATTGACAGTAAAAATATGTTTCAAAATATTTCTATTTCAAATAAATGCTGTTCTTTCTATTTATTAAAGAATGCTGGAAAAAGCATCACAAATTCCACAAAAATATTAAGCAGCACACCTTTTCAGCATTGATAATAATAAGAAATGTTTCTTGAGCATCAAATCAGAATATGTGACCCTGGACCACAAAACCAGTCATAAGTGTACATTTTCTAGGCTAGGTTTGGGCCGATAGACGATGCCATCGTAAATCGCCGATGGCTGACAGACATCACGATGTTAAGAGTTTGGGTTACGCTCAGTAAAAAAATTCTTTTTGAATTAATATTTTTATTTAGCAAGGACACATCAAATTGATCAAAATTGACAGTAAAAATATGTTTCAAAATATTTCTATTTCAAATAAATGCTGTTCTTTCTATTTATTAAAGAATGCTGGAAAAAGCATCACAAATTCCACAAAAATATTAAGCAGCACACCTTTTCAGCATTGATAATAATAAGAAATGTTTCTTGAGCATCAAATCAGAATATGTGACCCTGGACCACAAAACCAGTCATAAGTGTACATTTTCTAGGCTAGGTTTGGGCCGATAGACGATGCCATCGTAAAACGCCGATGGCTGACAGACATCACGATTTTATACCTTTTTTTGAGGAAGTGCTTTGTTTGGGCAGGAAAGCTTTAGTGCCACTGATTCCGATGTCAACCAGGAAGCCGTGATCTTCCACACTCTCCACACAACCACTCAGTGTCTAAAATGTTAAAACAGTCTTATCTTAGTTCACAAGTGACAATTACTCATAAAAGATTCAACAACAACTGCGTGATACATACTACCAATTGTATAAAGTGTACATAAAGTGTACATAAGTGTACATTTTCTAGGCTAGGTTTGGGCCGATAGACGATGCCATCGTAAACCGATGGCTGACAGACATCACGATGTTAAGCTGACATCGTGATTCCTTCCCCACCACCCCCTCTCCCACAATCCGCCGCATCCCAGTTCCATGTTCAGAAAGGAAATGAAGTGTACTACGGAAACCCTAAAGGGAATAAATAGCCTACGAGGATGGGAGGATAAAAAAAAATATTTGAATACTTTTTCTCATAATTATATTGTTGGGTAAGTATAGGAGACTGTATATAAATTGCGGACATCAGGGAGCCGCTATTGAAACCGCTTTCGATTGCGCGCTCTCATTTTACCTTCACTTTCGAGATTCGGGATCACAAGGACTCTATACTATGGAGCGGCAGTACTTACCACGCATTTGACAAGATTAGATGTTTGTCATTGGTGATCAGGATCTGCAAATCATTCGCCATCGTCCTATCAGACATTTCTCCTTACTCTGTGTATGTGGTAAGTGAACTTTCATGTACTGTAATGCAACAGGTTACCGCTATCAAGTAGGACGCGTTATTTGTTTCACGCTTCGGGCAGACCCCTAAACCCGCCCCCTATGTCATCGTCCATCACGATGTTTCACTGTAGACATCGTCCGATGCCAATTTGGTAGACATTGCCCAACCCTAATTTGTACATCATATGAAAGCTGAATAATTAAGCTTTCCATTGATGTATGGTTTGTTATGATAGGACAATATGGCCGAGATACAACTATTTGAAAATCTGGAATCTGAGGGTGCAAAAAAATCTAAATGTGAACTTTCATGTACTGTAATGCAACAGGTTACCGCTAGCAAGCGGCTAACCTTTAAGTGGCTCCGTAGGACGCGTTATTTGTTTCACGCTTCGGGCAGACCCCTAAACCCCGCCCCCTATGTCATCGTCCATCACGATGTTTCACTGTAGACATCGTCCGATGCCAATTTGGTAGACATTGCCCAACCCTAATTTGTACATCATATGAAAGCTGAATAATTAAGCTTTCCATTGATGTATGGTTTGTTATGATAGGACAATATGGCCGAGATACAACTATTTGAAAATCTGGAATCTGAGGGTGCAAAAAAATCTAAATATTGAGAAAATCGCCTTTAAAGTTGTCCAAATGAAGTTCTTAGCAATGCTTGTTACTAATCAAAAATTAAGTTTGAAAATATTTATGGTAGGAAATTTACAAAATATCTTAATGGAACATGATCTTTACTTAATGTCCTAATGATTTTGGCATAAAAGAAAAATGGATCATTTTGACCCATACAATGTATTTTTGGCTATTGCTACAAATATACCCCAGCGACTTAAGACTGGTTTTGTGCTCCAGGGTCACATATTAGAATGATTTCTGAAGGATCATGTGACACTGAAGAATGGAGTAATGATGCTGAAAATTCAGCTTTGCATCACAGAAATAAATGACATTTTAAAATATATTCAAATAGAAAACATGTGCAACAGACTTCATAAAATTTTTAAAAAAAAACCTTTAAAAAAACAGGCCCCAAACTTTTGACCAGTACTGCATCTAAAAAAAATTTACTTGTTATTTTCCAGCCATTTGATTATATGTATATGCTCTAAAACGGCATTCTAAACAGTACTGAATTATTTCATTTTAATATCGGTATCAAAAGAACACTGAACGTATCATAAATATTCAATATATCACCCAGGTCATTTTGATACAATTGTCTACTTGAATATAATAATAAAAAAAATAAATATATATAAATTGAATATAATACATAAAAGTTTGCAAACTCACCATTCCAGGTTTCAAAGAACCTGAACTCAACACCTTGTTAACCCCTTTAGGGTTGATTGACACTTTAAGACTAGTATGACCCTCCTTAATGGAGTCGAGAGACGACACAACGCATCTGATCAGCATTCCAGGAGTAAGCAGTTGTGGGAGAGGGACAACTTCCTGTGAAGAGTAGACAAACACAAACAAAATGCATCCTTTAATGACAACATTCACATACAGCTTTACATGTTCATTCCTTATGCAGCTGTGGTACCTTTAAACTGTCTTCAGAGTCCAGGTTGTCCTTAAGAATACTGGTATAGGAGTCACAAATGTTGCAGATTGGCAGGTAACCAACAAGACCGCTGGAAAAACCAACTACCGCCTCAAAGTCCGACACTTCCTTCACACAACCCAGCATCAGAGTGCCAATCTTCAGATTCTAGACAGAGAAACCAGAGTGCCAGAGAAATCAAATACAAGGTCAGTGGCATGACTCAATTCTTGTGTTTGTTTCAAAAATAAATAAATAATAAATAAATAAATAAATAAATATATACATATACAGTGGTGGACAAAATTATTAGAACACTAGTCAAATAAAAATGGTTTTAAGCCTGTCATTTCTAGGGGTGGGCGATATAACCAAAATCTTATATCACGATATGACTAATTTTATATCATAAATAATGATATAGTTATTTTTTTCTTTTAAAAAGGTTATGATATTAAAATCTTTGATTCCATAGAATTTTCATAATGCTTGTCACCAATGTCAATATCAAACTAATACAAGCCCATTAAAGATAAATAAAGTCAGTGATTAAAGCTGCAGTCCGTAAGTTTTGCCTCTTTGTCGCCATCTCTGTTTGAAAACCTCATACTCTTCGAATTTTAGATTCAGAAATTCTTTTAACCCAAAAAAGCAAGTTATGCTCCCTTCGAACTGGTTTTCTTTAAAATACAAATCTTTGTAATCTCAGGCTATCTGTAATCAGAAGCACATTTATAACTGGAATATAACTGAATTTCATTCACATGTGTTTCATAAACACAATCCTTTATGGATTACAATCGGCCATCAAAATGATACATTTAATTATTCCAGCTGCTGTGAGAAAAGGCTATAAACGATCGGCCACCTGCAGGATCCTCACATGCGATAGCCTAGTAGCCGGGACAACTTCTTTATGTTTACAGACGTGACGTAATGACGCAGTGCCATGCTCGAATTTCCCGCGAAAACTTACCCGTACCACTCAAATTAGAAAACATTATTATAAGCTAACCGTTGTGAATCGGGCTAAAGTAAGGCGATAGTTTTGAACACTGGCTGGTTATGTACTTGCTCAAATATTGATTTCGGATAATTTTTAACCAAAAAAAGTTACGGACTGCAGCTTTAAATAAGGATAAGAAAGTAATTGCAAGAAATAGGACAAAAAACTACAATAAATAAGAAATGCTACATACATTGTGTAAATTAATTAGTCTATCTCGATACTATATTGGACAGCTTCCCCCTTTAAGACCGAAGTCCGGATCCAATATACTGTTACATATGCGTTTTCTTTTTCAGCTGTTTACTCTCTCTTAAGACCTAAATCACTGTGTTTATGAGGATACTTGCAAAGACAGGGATTCGGACGCATATAAGTGTGTTTATGTAATCGTTCAAAGGCAATAAAGCAGCAAAAAAATGCATGCTCCTCTCACACAGAAACAGAGACGGCACACACATATAGCTCTGTTGTTTGTGTTTCAATGGCTTAAAATCGGTTGTTTTAAAACTGCAGTGCTTAAAAACGCATGTCCATGCTACAGATGTAGTCCCTCGTTTAGAAACAAGCTCCTACTAATACTAGTGTTATTGTTTCCATCCACCTATTTTTATGCGCATTTTGGGATATTGCATAAAAAAAAACACTGGATGGAAACGCCAAGATGCGCATAAATTCTAAAAATGTGCATTAAAAAAAACGTATGGCTCAACTACGTAGGATCAATTACTTATCCGGTAAACATACGCATAAACTATGATGGAACCCCTTTTACCGAATAAATTCCTTAACGCACATCAAAAAAGACACGTGACTTTGCAATGGGATAAAACTGGACCAACCAACGGACCGATCTCATTGCACAGCATCTGAAATGCTAGTTTTGTCATTCAAATATGCTTGAGCAAAGTCTCGTCAAAGTGCTTTGTTATAATTAACTCCAAAAACTGCGTTCCCAAATAGCAAATTCCGAAAATAAGATAACATGACCACAGTTTGTCTGCATGCTCTGAAGCTCGTAATTTATTGTATACAAAAAGTGTTATATACAGTGCCTTCTACAGCAGCAAATACAATTGTTCATCATGATATTTGACAAAAGTTAATCAGGAAGTGACGATTTTGTTCTCTTCAACTCACTGGATGGAAACGGTGCTTTATTCGCAAATGTTTTATGCGACATTCCAATTTTGCGCATAAGTTTAATTTGTAACTTTGGATGGAAACATAGCTACTGTGTTTATACACACACACACACACACACACACACACACAGTAGCTGTTTCCATCCAAAGAGTGTATTTTAACTCAATATTGCAAATGACAAATATCTCATATGGATATACATACCCGTAAATGAAGAATTTCCACAGTGGTAGAAGTATTAAGTTTTAAATCCCCTCTTTCCACTTTCTGTTCTTTTGTTTTTTGCTTTTCATCCTGTCGCGCGACCTTTCTCTTCTTTGTAACCACTGTTTCACGTGTCTGAAAAACATTACATACATGCACACATTACTCTCATAGCAGATGTGAAGGCAGCACATTGATCTTAATTAAAAGCACTGTTGTAGTCACTACCAGTGTTGGGGGTAACTCATTACAAGTAACGCGAGTTACGTAATTGGATTACTTTTGTCAAGTAACTAGTAAAGTAACACAATTTTTTAATTTACAAGAAAATATCTGAGTTACGTTTTCCCATTTATTGACTGACAAGCCTCCTGTCCCCATATTGGGAGAAATCGGGAGTACAGAGGAGTTGT